GAAACCCACTGAAAGCTACACTTACCTTCATGCCTCCAGCTTCCATCCCAGACACATTTCTTAATCTATTGTATACAGCCAAGCCCTAAGATACAACCAGATTTGCCCCGATCCCACAGACAGAGACAGACACCTAAAGGATCTTTATAGAGCATTCCTAAAACTGAAGTACCCACCGGGAGAAATGAAAAACAGATTGACAAAGCCAAAAAAGTATCCAGATATGAACTACTTCAAGACAGACCCAAAAGAGAAAATAACAGAATTCCACTTGTCATTACCTACAGTCCACAACTCAGACCCCTCCGATGCATTATACACAATCTGTAACTCATCTTGGAAAATGATCCCTCACTCTGAGGCCTTGGGGAGGAAAAGCCTATACTGGCTTACAGACAACCCCCCAACCTGAAACGAATTCTTTCCGGTCACCATGCTACACAACTACATCATAAGCATCCAGGAACCCAGCCCTGCAATCAGCCGTGGTGCCAACTCTGCCCACGTATCTATACAAGCGAATTCATCACTGGAGCCAACAACATAAGCTACCAAATCAAAGGCTCATTTAACTGCACACTCAGTAATTTGATCTATGCCATCAAATGCCAGCAATGCCCCGCTGCTATATATATTGGACAAACTGGATAGTCCCTACGGGCAAGGGAACATGCATACATAAAGGGAACATACAGAAACTCTGTTGGAGAACACTTCAATCTACCTAATCACTCTTTAAAAGATCTCCATGTGGCTGTCTTGTCACAAACCAATTCTGCAAGCCAAATACACAGAAAGGCGTTGGAATTACAATTCATCCACAAATTCAGTTTTCACACTGATGACCTCCTCAATCGAGATAACGGATGGCTGGGACATTATCAACCTAACATTCAATTAAGGTGCCAACAGCTCTTTGTGTAGACTCTTGCATTAGTACCCTTCCTATCTAATTGCAATCCTATGATCCTTATTTGCTTCTTTTAACTATCCAATCTTTAGATGTTTATAGGTTACCGGTTCTACCTACTTGTTTTTCCCTTTGATATTTTCATACCATCTGCTGATTGTTTCCTGCTCTCTTCCTTCTTTTTTTTTTCCTTTCTCTCCCTTCTCCTCTATTTATTTTGGGTCTGCACATCCTAAACTCAAAACTCCGGTCATCTGAAGAAGTGGGCTGTGCCCAAGAAAACTCATGATACCATCTACATGTTTTGTTAGTCTATACAGTGCTACCAGACCATTTGTTGTTTTTTAGGAATATTGTTGACCACCTCACATAACACAAGAACTAGGGGGCACCAAAGAAAATTCATAGATCTCTTTTTTTAAAACAAACATAAGGAAGAACTTCTTCACGCAACTCTCAAAGTACAGTGCTTGTTTGTGAAGGCTGAAAGCGTAGCTGAGTTCAAACAAGAATTTGATGAGTTCCTCGAGGACAGGTCCATCAATGGCTATTATCCATGGTAGTCAGTGAAGCAACCCCAAGATCTGGTGTCCCTAAGCCACCAACTGGGATTGGATGGCAGCGGGTGGACCCCTCAAAATTGCCCTGTTTTGTTACTCACTGGCAACTATTAGACAAGGACACCTGGTTAGACGGACCATTGGTTTGACCCAGCATGTCTGTTATGTTCCTACTGTAGCCTTCAGTAATTTCCCCTAGTCACTACAGTGGTGACAGCTGATACTCCAGTGACTGGGGCCATTGCTGAACAATTCTGTGCTGTATTTTCTGAGGTATTCCAAAGGGCCTTGCATATTATGTCCCACTGCAAAATGGTAACAGGTTTGACGTGCAGGGCCACATTTTCAGAAGAACTTCCGCATGGCCTGTGTACAACAGGGAACTGCTTGTGCATATTACTGCTTGCATGCTCAAATGAGAATTTACGTGTGCAGAATTCATCCCCTCCATTTGTGCTCTATTTGTACAGTCAAAGGGGATCTCGTGTGTTGATCACTTTTACATGCAAAGCTGCACGGCCTCCCCTTACTCTGTAGCATTAACATCTGCAGGCAGTATGCTCTAGGCACAGAGGCATAGCAACGGGAGGTGGGAGGGGGCAGTTGTCCCCGGGCGCCATGCTAGGGGGGCGCTAATTTAGCTGCCTGTGAATAGCCCCTCCAGAGCAGCTTGCGTGAGACAGTAAGACCTGGCTTCTTTTTATGCTGAAAGCCTCTGTGTGAGATCGGAGCAACCCCACCATGGCGACCCTGAATTTGGGGGAGGGGTGGCAGCTGGAGTTCAGGGCTGACTCCGACTTCTTCTCAGCCTCTGGCTGGAGGCTGGGGTGCAGATGCAGGCCAGGCAGACCCCAGAGCTACAAAACCCCCACGAGCTGCAGGGGCAATTGCACGTGAGAGCTGACCCCTAGAGCTAGGCCTCTCCACTCGCTGGGGGGGAGCAGATGGAAACTGGGGCCAGCTCCTGGAGTCCATTGCGCCCATGAGGATCCGCCGCAAGAGCTGCATTACACTCACCACTGGCCAGCCCCGGTAAGCTACCCCTGCCTTCCAGCGCCCTGACGTGAACCCTTCACCTCCCACCATCATCCCTGACTCCTGCACCCTCACCCCATCCCTGAGCCTGCCCCCAACCCAACCCCCTGCCTGGCTCAACTCCTCCCACATCCCTCCAAACACCAGCTCTCTGTCCCGAACCCGCCTCCTGACACTGGAACCCCTTGCCCTGAGCCCCTCTATGTGTCCCATATCCTCTGCTGAAGAACATGAGCAAAGATGGGGATATTGCTCGGTGCTCTACAGAGACCGGCTACCACTCTGGCTATGCTGCAGCGACTAATCGCAATGCAATGCCACCCACTTTCCACACAGCAGTGCTAACCCCGGTCCCTTTGCAGCCGGGCCTCGTCAGCCTCCTTCGGAAGCCCCGGGTCCTGAACTTCCCACAAGCCACCTTTGTGCTACCAGGCTTGGTGTGGACACACCGGATGCATACAGCGTGCTGCCCCCATGCGGAGCTCAACAATTCTCTGGCCTCAGCCGCCCTCGTGGGTATGATTCATTGTCACCCCGAACCGCCAGGCCCCACTTGCCTTGCGTGCTGCCAGCTTCCTCTTCGCACGCGACAAATTCTGCACTTTGGCCAGACGGGGGCAGCATAGAGGGTCCAAGCCAAACCCTGTTTGCCTGTTTCTCTCCCAGCACAGGTTGGAATGTGTAAAGTCCCACGGGTAGTAACAAATGATTGGGGGGTGCAAATTTTGCCTTTGGCCCTGGGCGCATTACACCCTCGCTACGCCTCTGTTTAGGCAATTATAACACCAGGTTGGGAGGCCTGGGGTTTTAGTACCATTTTCTGTCACTGATTTGCTAGACTAGCTTGGGAAATCACTTCAGTTTTCTCTGATCCAGTTTGCCCTATGATGATGTAGTTCATGTCACAAGCCAACTTTGCAAAGTGCATTGTGACCTGTGGAAGAAATCCACTCTGTAACAACTCAAATATGGCATTATTAAGTGGTACGTATGTATTATTATTTAAACTGGATCTGATGACAGATAGAATTAAATACAGAGCAGCCTGTTAAAAGGTTTCATGGCCTGGAAGAAAGTGGCCTGGAGCCATTAACCTACCCAGCTAAGGTAGCAATGCAAGTCACCCTCAGGTGGTAACTATGGAGAATAGGAGTTATTTATGATTATTTACAAGAAAATGTCTGAGGGGTGTGGGGCAAAGCAAAAAAAAAAAAAAAGAGAGAGGTTTGATGTATCCATTGTTCTGTCATCTTATAAAAAAAAACCTTGCTGACAGGCACGCATTAGTGCCAGACAATGAGGCCTCTAAATATAGAGGGGAAAGTGTGTCAACGTCATTTTTAGGCTATGGAGTGAGAGAACAAGACATTTTCATGCCTCCTCCCTGTTCCTGACAAGCCAGGTCAGATCGGGGCTTTTAGGCTTCACAGATTCAAAAATCATCTGCAGTCCAGGGCTTGTTTGCTGGGGTTGACATCTTCTCTCTCCACTTCTCCCCTGCGGAATCCTGCTTCCTTTTCCTGGTTGTGGAAAGAGGGGGATGGTTAGTGACAGGTTCCATGGTCTGTGGGCTGATGGGAACCTCCACTGTGTCTGCAGAGGGCAGCGATGGTATCGTCAGGTTTAAAATAAATGTCATTTGGGAAGTGGAGCAGAAAAATGTTTTTGTTTCTCACCTAAGAAGAAGGCTCCGAGGGAATAGGAGAGTTTGATTACTTGCTTGAAGGGATCTCCCCTGAGGCTTTGGGGTCTCTGTGATTGAGGTGGCTGGAATGTTGACAGCTTATGGGGAGGAAGGTTCCATGGTTGTTTGGAGCATTCACATGATTAACAATAACAAGTTCACAGGAAAACAAGCCTCGCTGGAAGCTCAGGTATATGCATGAGCTGTGAGAGAAGGGGCCCTCTGCCTGGGATGGGGTACGTCGGGTCACATATTTGGGGGAGAAAGGCCCAGTGTAGACACTTTACACTATTGATTTTTTAACATAAGATTGATTTGTGAGACCCAGTGGCTCAAGAAGCTACAGGCCTCCCCTTTCTACCCTTCACTGGCAAAAGCATTTCAATAAAGCTGGAGAAGATGCTGGTGTAAGCAAAAGACTCTGGGCGCCAATCTAATCAAATGTGGTCACTAGCCTTGGTCTAGATCCAATTCTATTACCAAATTGCACTATTTCCTCTACTGTTGTATTGGCATTGATATTTATCCCCGTGCATCATACCCAGAGATATGTTAGCGATGAACTTGGGCCATTGCATTGGAGAAACCAGGCACAGGGTACATCCACTCTGAAAGGGAAGGCATGATTGCAGCACAAGTGGCATACCAGTGCTCACTCTAATCTAGCTAGCACTGATAGCAGCAGTACTGAATGTGTGGCAGCGTAGGAATCAGCACAGGCTAACCGCCTGAGTACAAGCCCTCTGGTGAGCGTGTATGTATATGGGTGTGTTACACAAAGGAATTCTTTTCCCAAGAGTTCAGCCACATCGATAATACTAAGCAGGTTTATTAGCAATGCATCGGACAAGACTCAACATCAGCTTCCAAAGAATTAGCAGGAGTACAAGTCTTATATATCAGTTACATTCAACATGCAAAATCATTATACCAGCTACAACTAGTTTATTGGTTCTTTGTTCAAGAAGGAATGAATCTTTGCACAAGAATATGGAGCCAGGATAAGGGGGGAGAAAAGGCCAGGGTGGACTTAGTTTCTTTTTTAAAGTCTGATTTGCCCACCCCACCATTCCAGAGCTTTGGGGATGATACGGGCAGTGAATTTTAGTCTGATGTCTAAGGTGGCGTAGACATCCTTCACCACACGTCCTGTGAAGTGTGTTCCTTGGTCTGAATCAATGGAACAAGGCAGGCCCCATCGGGGGCAAAACTCATTTGCTATGATCCAGGCAGCAATCCAGTAGGTGAAATGGTCAATCATGACCAGGCAATACTTTTTCCCCAGGCCGGTGGCAGTGGCCCTATGAAATCAATCTGGATACTTTGCATAGGCCTTGTAGGCCTAGGTTGGTGTTACATTGTAATCTTCTTAATTACACCTAGCACAAACAAGGCATCGTCTGCAATAATTATGCACATCAGCTGACATCCCCAGGCCACCATCACTTCCCCTTCATGTGATGTAGCATGGCCTGGGGTCCTGGGTGCATTGGCAGACGATAGAGGTGGCAGAAATGAGCTGCAATTGCCGTGGTGGCCACATACTGTTCTCTAGTTATTCTCTAGTTACCCAGGTATTCGTGTTACCAATTTTACATGCGTTCTCAATCCATGTCCATTTTTCTTCTTTGGAGCATTGATCCTGCATGTCTGCCAGCCTAATTTGTTCAAGTTCAGAGGCTTGTGCAGCAGCTACAGTATGTATCCTTGGAACTGTTAGTGCAGCAGCTTTTTTGGCTTTATCTGCACTTGCATTAGCTAGGGAGAGTGAGTCATGTTTTTAGTGTGTGCTTTAACTTTTACTACCGCTAACTTAGATGGTTTTTAATTGCTTCTACCAGCTTAACATACGCCCCATTTTCCAGGAGGGTACCAAACAAAGTGAGGTACCCCCGAGAAATCCAGGGTGCCAAATAATCATGCACTACACCAAAAGCATACCAGCTATGCGAGTAAATGGTACCAGTCCGGCCTGCGGCCAGAACACAGACGTGGGTAAGGGCAACCAATTCGGCAACCTGAACAGAGCAGGAGAAGGCACGATTCTGAGAGGATACACAGCCCAGCCTGTATAAGGTTGGCCTGTGACATAGTATCTGGATCCATCTACAAAGAGAATAAGATCTGAAGAGAGCAAGGGTTGCTCAGAAACACAGTGGTTGGGAGACAGAGGGTCTTCAACTAAGGGACAGGAGTGGGCAATAGTGATGTGGGGGCTAAGGAGCGTACACTCCCACTAAGTCATCTTAGAGTTACTGCTTGTCTGGGCCCAATCCTTTTTTATCTTGCTGAACACTTTTTTCCCCCTTTCCCTTCCCTGCTCTAGCTTTTGCTTTACTTACAATATCTTCTCCTTAATAAAACCAAACCAACAGATACCAACAATGCTAGCAAAACATGTATCTCAAGACAAGACAAACATAGACATAAATAAAGAACACAATTTTTTGTTTTTTTGTGACAGTAGAACCATGGCCTTTTTGGTTGCTCTTCAGCTGGTACCAGCTCTTTCTGATGTTCTGAAAGACAAAAAGAAAATTTTCTATCCCTGTGAGGGTGGCACATTATATTTTGTACTACTCCTTTCCTTTGCAAGTATTCTTGCTGATTTCTTTATCAGCCTGCTGTTACCCAATAATTATTTATGCTTGTGTTCTGAATACCAGCGAAGCCTCATTAACTTCCACCCTTTGTGGATTCTGGGTAAATTATCCCACTGCTCAATTATAAAGTCAGTGAGTTGGTATGCCTCAGTTTCCCTCTGATACAGCAGACCACGTTTTTTATAGTCAGTCTGTCGTGAAGCTCTGAATTTATTCACAAGTGGTAACTGAGAAGCTTTAATGCTGCAGGGATTTTCCTTTCCTTAGCACTATGTGTTTGCCAGTTACCATTCCAGCACACCCAAAAGGTTTTCTCTTCCTGAAAGAGAATAATATACAATGTTGCAAGCTTACTTATTAACACTAAATTTATTCCCACGTTAAATGGTAACATTAGCATAAAATTTCTTACAAGTGACTGCTTATAAATGTCTCGTTATATACCATGCCTTTTATTTGGACAATTTACTTCTGAGGACACTGTGTGTGTTATACCCTCTTGAAATCTTTGAATAGCAGACCCCTTCTATCCCTGTACTGTCACTTACGGAGGATTAGAACTGCCCGTAACAGCCAGGCAGCCTGCATTCACACACACACACTTTCTGGCTTGCTTTCAGATCCAAAGTTATCAGCAACCCAGAGACTCAGCCTTGAAAAGTGAACTTCCAGAGTTCTGATTGCCTTTCACTGTGGCTTCTCTCTGGAGTACATGAGGTGCTCACAGACTTTATATAACCTTATCAAAGCAATAATTTCTGATTTCTGATACCCCCAAAAAAATAAGAAATCCAGAACCCATCCTCATTTTCTTGGTTTTGGCTGCTCTAAATACCAGCCACAACTTGGCCTATATAACAAGATATTGAACCTTATAAAGGTACCTTGAGGGTTAAATGCCACATACAAAGACAAGTGGCACTAGTTATCTGTGTCTGGCAAAAAGTGTCTTGTCAGTTTAGAACTTTAAATGAAAGAGCATTATCCAGAACAAAACCAAACCAATTCATTTGAAGCCTACAAAACAGATTCACAAATGTACAGTGCATAGATTTCATCCCTTTTTATGCATTTGAGCTGTTAAGTTTCAATAGAACCTCTTATTTCCCGTTAACACATTTAACAAAGTTTCCATAGCCAGATATTTAAATCAGATTGTCTCTTTGCCTGAATTATTTACACACCTTCCTCAGGACAAGGGCCCATTTTTCCCTCAGAAAGGTTGCAAAGAAACCAAGAATTCTTTTCCAATAATACTTTTCCTTTTAGCATCTTCACAACAACTGCAAAACGTGTCCCTCTGTGACTGCAAGCAGACTCTCACATGGCATCATTCTCTTTAACCTTTTTCCAGTATACATATTACAACTCTTTTCTCTGTCCTTTATTTTGTCTGATCAGACCCCCACATCAGACTATCTGTCACATTCATACCATCTTTTCAGCCATTCTTAGCTATTGCCTTCCATACTTTCTCATATTTGCCTACAATTTCCCCTCTCTGTGGTACTGCCTTTCTACCTCATAGTCTGTGCCTAACTGGCACGGCCACAGCTCCTTCCCCCTGAGCCTTTACATGTGGCCCTGCCCTTCTCCCTAAAGGGTGGCAATCTGTGGCCCCTCTGGGGCACCCTACGGGCCTTTCAGACCCTTTCTCTGTGCTCACTTGGCGCGGCCATGGTTCCTCCGGATGTAACCTTAAACGCGTGGCCCTGCCCTTCTCCCTAAAAGGTGCCCCCCCCAAAGGGGGGCACCTAACGTCTTTGCTCACCTGGTACGGCCACAGCTCCTTCCCCCGGAGCCTTTACGTGTGGCTCTGCCCGTCTCTCTGCTTACTCAAAGCAGAGGGGACACCTACAACTTCCTCAAAACACAACTGCATAGTCCCGCTTATCTGTGCACTTGAAAACAAATATATAAAAGGGTGCAGAGGATTTCCCTGGGAAAGCCCCGACTGAGGTGCACGCCAGAGGTGGTGAATATAAAACGTACTCACCTCTGTCCTCAGCCGTGGGGATCACCAGGAGTTGCCGACCACACTCTGCTCGCTGGGCCAAACTGTTAAACAAAGGAATTCTTTTCCCAAGAGTTCAGCCACACCAATAATACTAATCAGGTTTATTAGCAATGCATTGGGGATGCTCAATAGCAGCTTCCAAAGAATTAACAGGAGTACAAGTCTTGTATATCAGTTCCGTACATCTTGCATATCATTATACCAGCTACACCTAGTTTATCGGTTATTTGTTCAAGAAGGAATGGATCTTTGCACAAGAATGTGGAGCCAGGGTAAGGGGGGAGAAAAGGCTGGGGTGGACTGGTTCTGCAGATAAGGAGAAACAGAGCAAAGACAGTGAGATTCAGCAAAACAGCTTCTTGTAAATCTGTGAGAATTCAGGAGGAGGTTACAATTTTGATAAACTCAGTGAAAGTTTTAACAAAGCTCAAAGTCTTGTTGCAGCTGGGCTGTTATCATAGTCAGGCCTTGGGGCCCAGCAGAGGAAAACAAGGCTTTGTCCTAACAGGTGGCTAGTCTGTGCTGGAGCATGTGCCAGCTCCACTACTCTTGTAGGCTAAAACTAGCATAGGTAGGCTGACTCCTGCTGCAATCCCACCTTCGCTTGCTGTGTAGACGTACCCATAGGGACATTACAGCAGCTCTGATTTCTATCTGTGGAATGCCAAGCGCATGCTCAGTGCTCTGATACCTAGCCAAGACTCAGTCCTTACCCCAAGAAGCTTAGCATTCATTCTAAACAGTGGAGTGTAGACCCACAGTATGGGAGGCCAGCTCAGCCCAGAAGGCCAGTATCAGAGAGGAGCCAATTGTTTGTTGGTTTATCATTGGTGTATTAGTGAAAGGTTTCATGGAAAGAAGTGTGTAAAGAGAAGAAGTGTGCAGAGAGTGAGGGATAGACTTAAAAAAGGTGGTAGGTTTGAGGATGAATTGGGGGAGGGTGAATCTTGCTTTCCTGCCCATTCCCTCCTTGGACACACGACTTCTGTGGCTCCCCAGCCCAAGATGGAACAATATTCCAGGGCCATCACAGCAGGGGCAACCATGCTGGATCTTTCCTCCAGTCTGGAAGTGAGCTTAGAGTGTTTCCTCCGTGCCCCATCCTGCACCTGGAGAATCTCTTCTGCAGCCTCCCACAGACCTCCCTAGCTCTCAGACTGCCTGTGCACCTGAAATAGCAGTTACTCCAAGAAGAGGGGGAGGGCCCAAAGCACAGGAATAGCATGGCAGAAGCTGTGAATAGCGGAGCAGGAGAAGAACACAAAGGAAGCAGCTAGCCAGGAGTCTTAGGCAAAGTGAGGAAAGTATGAGAGCTAAGGTATAGCGATACAAGATCAAAAAATTGCCATGTCTTGCAGGGGGAGGATTACAGCTTGACACATTATCTCCCCTCCAGTGCTGGAAAAAATCTCAGGAAAGAATTCACATGGCGTGCAGCTGGGGTGTTTGGACCAGGTGCAACTATCAATAGGGAAGCAAATTGTTCAATTGCTGATTGTGTCCGTAGCTTTGTCATCTTCACTCACCATGGAGATTTCTATAGTAACGGTTCTTGCTGAAGTTACTGTGTTTACGACTCTTATACAGCGTTGTTGCTGGTTGCTACATACGCATCTGTCTATTCTGCAGCAGGGAATGAAGATTCTAGACCCCTAAATCACTCAGGGTGATTTAACATAGACTGTGGATAGTCTTTTCCACCTTGTTCATGAGGAAAGCTCCCTGGAGCACTAGAATAAAGGTTTGGTTATTAATATTCCTAAAAGATAAAGGCTTCTATCATGCCTAGTAGGCACTGGTTGGGTAGAGGATGGTGCAGTGCCCACTGCTGCAGGGTGAGATCTGGATTTTGCAATGGCACTAAATCCACTGTTCCAGTGTTCTATGGGGTGGAGCATATTCTCCCTTCCTATGTACTGTTTTCACTCTGTGGTGGTGCAGCTTGAAAGAAGCACGCAATTCTGGCAGACTTTTGCACAGGGAAAGGAGTGATTCTTGCCTGATCACCTGCCATTCACTAAAGGCTTTTCCCAGTCTGGCTCTTCAGTCTCCAGGTCAGTCTACCACTGACTCAGAGAGCAGGGTTAGGTAGTGGCAAATGAAGCAATTTAGCAAGGTAGGGGCTGTGGTTCAGTTTGGTTTGGAGGTAAAGGAATCCCCAAAGTCTGAAGAAATGGGTGAATTGTGCTCGCTGACTTGCCCAAACAATTGTCAATAGCTTAATGTAACTATTCACTGGAATTGTGAACAGTGCCATGCGTGGCTAAGTCCTAGGTATTTGCACTTTAAGGGCTGGATTTTGCAATGAGCAATAAAACAAAAGAATATTTGGTCAAGTTACTAAATAGCTATAAGCGGGCCCATAAATTTCAGAGGATGAGTCAATTGATGAGTATTTTGGCTCCCTAAAATTTGACTTTTGCAACAATGACAGGATGTAGCCCCCCACCTCTACTGAGCCAGCTCTGAAATGTATTAATGACTGAAGTGCGAGAACCCCAAACTTTTTACACTCGGGGCTGCATCAGCCCACTTGTTGAGAGTCTAAGGGCTCCTCCTGATGAAATTGAGCAGTTGGCCGCTACCCTCACCTGTAAACAGGAAGGTGCAGTTCACCTACGCTATGAATCCCATTTTGCAATGCTCTATCTCGAGGAGAAAGACATCTGAGACCTACAGATTCTGTGGGCAGTGCTTCCATGGTAAAGGTAATGGGGAGGACTGTATGTGTCCATGTTTTCCATGTGGGTTATATCTTGGGCCCTTCATAAACAGGGGTTTGATTTAATGTTCTGAAATTCAAGTACTAAATTAAAACAGTACTACCCTGTAGAGCCCTTAATGCTGCAGATCTGAGCACATGATCTGACTCCAAGGGTGCCTAAGCCAGTACTAGAGATGCTTGAGCACATTGTGGATACCCTTTAAGTCTATGGCAGCTCCTAGAAAGATGCTGGGCAGTGTCTGGCTAGGATAATTGCTTTCTTCAGTATTTTTTCTGGGACGATTTCTTTTGTGGTGGTCACTACTAAAGACAGTTGCAAAAAAAAGAATCTTTGCTGCTGTGAAGCCATATCTGTTTTTTCTGCATATTCCTTCCCTCAGAAATCAGTTCTCTGTAACCTTCTATGTATCTTGGTAACAGGTGGGGATGGTTCCATTTTAAGATAAAGCTTGATATTTCTAAATTGATGTTTCTTCCCATATGTGCAAGAGACCAAGGTCCATGTCCTTGCATTGCCATATTCAGAACAGGGACTCAAACCTGGGTCTCCCATCCCATTGGCCAGGTGAGTGACCTGACCACTGGGTTGTTAGCCATTCTGGGTGGAGGTCTCTTGCTCTCACTCATTCTCTGATCAGAAATTCCACCATTGACCTGAGAAACTGTTTTAAGAGGGGAAAAAATTAACTGAAAAATTTCAGGCCAGCACTACTAACAATGCTCTTGGATTGAAATGAACACTTAAAACAAGGTGTCTCATTCCTCCTTTCTCCAAATCTAGACTGTGTGCTGGACACAAACACGTGTACCAAATATCCAAGTACATAACTGGATGTTAGCAAGATCAGCTTCCTTTGGCTACCTTCCTAAAAGCAACTTTGGAGTCAAGTTTCATCTCCCTGTCAGATGGAGAAGCGCAGTTCTAGGACCAGGCAGGTCTTTGCTTCAGCTACCTTAATGCGCTGGTCCAAAGCTTACTAAGCCAATGGAAAGGCTCCCCTTGATTTCTATAGACGTTGGCTCAGGTCCTTCGTCTACAACTGGTCAGCTTTTATCCCGCTGCCAAAGTCTCAGCAGGCTTCCCACTGGTCAAGTTGAGAACACCTCAACATTCTCCAAGCAGCTTCTAGGCTAGCTTTCGTGTCTTATCTGCCTCAGGTGCTTTACCACGGCCATGAGTTTTTCTCTCTAGCCTTCCTGCCCAGACAAGTGTTATAGCCTGTTGGCTATGGGGAGAGGCTGGACACTATAGCAAAGGTCATAATACTGTTAGTTCCTTTCTCTTACAGTGATGGGGCACATTGCCACATCTGTCTCCACAGCAGCGGACTATGAAGTCCTGTCTGGGTATGATGCAGTAAATTCCAATATTGTAATGAACTGTTGAGAAACTCCATGCCTCTTTGCATGTGACTGTCACTGTTAGGAAAAAGCAGAGTAAAAAGAAATACAGAAAATATGATACATCTGCAACTGGCCTTTGAATTTTGTCCCAGATTCTCAGAACTGTGCATGCAGTTGCCACAGTTGGGCACAGGAAGTTCAGCTGGATGTCGAATGGGCAGTATGTGTGTGAAGTTTTGGTAAACTAATATGAAAATGTGCCTGGATCTGGCTGTACTGGTTTCTCAGTCACTTATGTCGGTTGCTTTTTAGAGTACATAGTTTTCTATGAGTCTGTTCATAAGTTAGGAAATATTGGAATCCGATTTTCTGTGCCAGAAGCTTCACTGTTTGGTCACCCACTGGTCCAAATCCAACTCTGGTCATTAGTTGAAGAGTGGCCAAAAGATTGTGCCTTTTGGTAGCTGGTAGGTGGCCTGTGTGAATGGAATGTGAGTCTCACTTTAGTTGCTGGTGGGAATGGATATCTGCATCACAGCTGGCACTAGCTGGCCCCCTTGTGGCAGTCTTAGCGGAAGGACAAGGACTGAATGGGTCATAGAGAGACCCCCCTGGAGGTGGTTCCTGTAGCTCAGGGCTCAGGTAACAATAAACAGAAAGATTGCCCTGCTGCTGTTCATGATGTACCTGTTCTGTATATTTCATTCTGCTGGGCTGAACTCATTCTCGCCAGTCACAACTTTATGGCATGGAGAGGCTTAGCAAAGGCATCTAGCTGCAAGAGTGTAACAGAATATACTGTGAATAATTCTGGTTTTTTTATTCCCTCCCCCAAGCTACTATGATACTATGGACTGGTACACACTACCCACATGATTATCAATTCAAATATTCTCTGCTGTAACTTTGGATTGTCAAGTCTTAGGGATGGGACTTTCTCTTTTGTTCTGTGGTTTCTACGGTACCCTCCTTTTGCACAATTGGGATCCCTAGGCACTCCTGCAATCATACAAATAATTAATTATATTATCCACACATGTTGTGCGCGCCAACCACAGCCTGCTTTTCCTTTGCCCAGCCAACCTGGGGCAATTTTGTGAGGCTGCACCCAGTGTTGCTTAACTGGGGGCTGTCCTGGGGCTTTTGAGAGTTGGTAACGGGACATATGGTGCAAAATATTCCCTCCTCTCCACCGGAAAGTTAGATTGGTCTGTCGGGATATTTTCTTAGTTCCTTTCAGCAGTGTTACAGTAATGGTTCTTGGGGCAGGGACTCAGGAGTGGAGCAAAGACAGAGAAAGGGGTACCTAGCATAGCTAAAAGGGGTACCTAGTATAGCAGTGGGTCTTTGCCCATGAAAGCTTATGCTCCTACACTTCAGTTAGTCTATAAGGTGCCACAGGACTCCTTGCCGCTTTTGCAGATTCAGACTAACATGGCTACCCCTCTGATACTTAGCATAGCTAAAGTATTTTGAAATGTGTAGACTAAGACAAAAAGAATAAGTGATTTATCCAGGGTATCACAGCATCTGAATGGCTGAAATGGGAACTGAGCTCTGGTGTTTTCATGCCCAGATCCCAGCTACAACCTCGTGGCATGTTTCCTTCGTGCTATCATTTCAAATGTTTTAACGTCTTGAATATGAGCACCTAGACTCTCTAACTAACCACTTCTTCATAAGGAGAGCTACCTGCCACCTGGCTAAATTTTGCAGGAAATAAAATGTATCTCTAGAAGATCTTAGTTTGACTCGGGTGAAGTGGTAAGATTTGCATCCTTACTGGGAATGACCAGGATGCACCTGTCATCTGAATCAATAACCTCTCACTCTGGTGTTTGGTGGAATCTTTGTGCATCATTCTCATGGTATCTCCAGAGATATTTTCAGCCTAGATAATAAATGCACTGTTAAGGGAGCAGCCAGTTGTCTTAGATACCAAGGGACAGGTGTTTATTATCTGCTTTATTTTACTATGTGGCTTGATGGCTGTCTGCTTGTGGAGGTAAATATCAAATGCCATTTCTTGTTATGTGGTATTATTTACTTACAGTAGTGCAAACAAAGCCCAGTCACTGTTCCCAAAACATCATTTGAAACCTTGCACAATTCCTTCCATAAAGAACCATAAACCTAACCTCTTGTCATTTCAACAGCTCACTGTCTGGGAGTGACAAAGTTGGTCATAAGTAAATAGTTTTTTAAAAAGAAGGTTTTACCCATAAACTGGGCTACAGAATTGTTGAGCATTCTCACACATACAGCTGAGTTGAATCAATTACCAGGTGGACTCTCCTCCTCATAAAAAAATCAGGATAGTTCAGAAACCTTCCAGCTGTAGAGCCTGGAGATTTTCTCTTGCTTAATCTCATTGCCAAGTGAATTTTGTTATGGTTTATATGCCAAGGCAACGTATAGATTAGCATGTTGAGTGAGATATCCTCCCCATCTCAAATATTTGATCTGTGAGCAGAATGTTCCCTAGTGCAGCAAACTGTCTCTGCATGAAAGAAGAAAAGTATCTCTTGCTTCCTCAAATTTTGCCTTCTCTGTCACAACAGTTGTCTGTTCTCAGCTCCTTAATGCTGACTTTATTGTCAGCCCTAGTAAGGGCCTAGTCATCTTTTTCATGGTGGATCTTATACTCTCAAATTCAGCTGAGGTGTGGTCCAAATAGGACGTCTGATCCCATGACTATGAATGTAGTATGAAAACCTAGCTAGACGGATAGATTGGTCACACATCCCTTCCCCTGTCTGTGTCTTCCAGATTGTCTCCTATTTGGTTTTTTCTTTTTAAATGCACATCTAGGAGTGAACCCTGAACAGTCTTCAGGAGAAAAACTGGAAATTCATTGAGAGAGGGCCAGATTGTGCTCTCTTTTGTACTGATGTAAATTCAGAATAATTCTACTGATTATAGGAACAAAATTTCATATTTTCACTAGTTGAACTGGGAGCAAAATCTGGTCACATGAGGTTTCTCGGTTCTTGTTTGCTGGACTCTCTTAAGGAGCTGTGAGGCTTCAGAGGTCATGGAAAACACCTGCTGCTGTCTTTTGCACTAAACACACTCACAGCTCTCCCTCCTCCTGTTGCCCAGCACCCCCTGTCTCAAAATTCAAGTTCCTTGTACCTTATAGAGCCATCCTTTATTTAAACCCCAATAGTTTTCTCATTGGACAGCAGTGAAAAGTAACTGCTCTATAGTATCACAAATGAACAGGAGGAGGATGAAAATGTTGGGGATATGGACAGGTCTGGTTTCACCATAAACTTGAATGAGCAAGAGCCAGCAATGGAGAGGGATCTACCAAAGTGGATATCTGCAGTTAACTTATGGTATGTACATGGCTACGTCTTCACTGCGAGTTCTTCCAGCAGAAAATATGCTAATGAGGGACTCATTAGCATAAATTGTGATCTCATTCATATATTTTCTGCTGTTTCTTTTTGCGCAAGGGGTTTTTGCGCAAAAAGAAGCAGTGTGGACTTTTTTTGTGTGTGTGCAAAAACCCTGTTTTGTGCAAGATCCTTATGCCCCAAAAAATCTTGTGGAAAAAGGGGTTTTTGCACACAAAGAAAATGTCAATACTGCTTGTTTTTGCGCAAAAATCCCTAGCGCAGAAAATATGCAAATGAGAAAACTCGTAGTGTAGACATAGCCCATGTGTCTTTCCCTCCTCTGCCTCTGTGCCTTGATAACAGTCATTGGTCAGATTCATGCCTAATTTAATGCCACTGAACTGAATGACAGAATTTAGTGGAGTAAATGTAATGCTAGATACATTTTTGAGGAAGAATGTTTCAACTGAAAGATCATTCAGGACAGTTCAATTTTATACAATGGAGAACTGAAAGATACTATGTTTTCTGGTGGGGGAAAGACTATTGGTTACCCTGTAAAAATGGAATGAAATAGAATAATAAATGGGCTAAAGAAGAGGACTTAGAATGAGATAGATGCTCCTCCCATAATATAAGGACAAGAGGGCATTTGATGAGATTAAAAAGCAAGAAATTTAAAAAGGATAAAAGGAAATTGTGCTTTACGCAGCATATA